GCAGCAGATCGATATTATATCGAAAATACTTATATTGGTGTGGCAGCGATCCACCCACCGACCCATTTTCGCGCTTCTTCAACCTTGTGGGCACGCATGCCAGCTAAGTGACGATCAGGAGGCGTCATGTGTCTGGTGGGGAAGGGCGACAGGGTACGCTAGATGTGGCAGAATGTCGTATTTGAGCTACAACAGTGTATCTTGCACAATCCTTGCAACAAGTAGCCAAAAAATGGCATATGCAGTCAATTCGTGTCGCCATTTTTAATTGGGATATGAGGGGGCAGCATCACCATAAGCCTGTAAACATGTTTAGTGGGCTTCGGGAGGAGATTTGTTCAAATAAACAACAAGAGTAATGAATTTGGATGGAGAAGAATTATGAGCGCTCCATGGTTAGCGTCGGCATACGGTGAATAAATGGCGGCAAACTATCATTTTATGCAGAGAATGTATGTCAAAATCATCGAATTCGACCATTACCAGTACACTGGCATTTCCCATTTTTTTGTTATTTTTACCTGTAGAAGTCGTTGATTAAAATTCTTGCAAACAACTAATATACATTATACATTATATAACTGAAACATATCTTACTAATGAATGAATGAATGATTGAATGAATGTTTTCCGTTTGTTCGTCAATCGCATAAACTTCAAGATTTGAAAAGCTTCCCTCGCTATAGACATGCCAATTATGTGTTAATTTTGTGTAGAGTAAATTAAAGATCCCACGAGGATAGTCGCGGTACTCTTATTTTTTAATGTTTGTTCCATACATGATTTTTTTTTTAATATTGATCGGATTCAAAAAAAAAAAAAAACGCTCGTGATGAGATATATCCGAAGGGAGATTTTATATAATACTTTGGAACGAAAATCACGCCTCACGCATTTGTTTGTAGTCCAAAATTTCTGAATCCTTGCAACCTTTACATTAAGCATAAAAATGCATCAACACGGACAGATAAGCAGATAAAATCAATCGAAATCGATTGTGCTGATAAAAGGCGAATGAGTGAGCCTATCTCCCTTGCGTGCGAATGATGCATGAATTTAATGCACTGTTATCAGAAGTGGCGTTCGAGCGAAATAAATCGGAAAACCGGTTTGCTCGCAAAGAGAGGAATCTTGAACCGATTGACCAAAGAGTTGTATACTTTAAATTTTTGAAATGTAGATTAGATTTTTCTTAGTAGATTTTAAATTATGCGACTTTGGAAATTGCTTGGAAAGAGCTTGAAAGTTCGGAGTACTGAGTTCGGAGTTCTGAGTTACGAGATATTTAAATAGTTATTCTTGCGTTTATATTAAATGATGGCGTAGTTAGTTGTGAGTGTGAAAGGCGTTTTGTTTGAGCAGACTTTCCAGTTCGTTTCATTATGAATGAATAGGAAATAGAGCTTTGCAGAATATCGCAGAGGAGCGCTTTGGCACTATAAAATTTGATGTGGACCACATGAGCACATTTTGATATAACGGCCTTTGGAAAATTGCGGTAAAAATAGGTAAATGATAATGAATGTGGATCTTGTCGGTGCAGGTTTTGAGGCCGCCTCCTATCCCATATTAGGGTTCGTAGAAGCAGCAAGCATAGGAAACATAGCAAGTAGGCATAAATTTCCACGCTACTGTATGGTGAAAGTAAGTGAAATATTGTATGGACAAAGCGATACAGTAAGTAGCCTTGTGCGAGTATTATATTCTTGTTTGCTCTTAAAATAATTTTTATATATTCACTGTGCACTCTTTATCTCAATGAGCATTTTGTGTCTGCGTTACTAACGAAAATGAGTTAAACAATTTTTAATTACAAAGAAAAATTTGAATTTCAAGTGAAATGAATTTACTTTTAATTTTCAAATGATGATAATGAATTTTAATTAAGATATAAGATATATATATATATATATTTTGTTTTTTGTAGAGGGACGGAAACAAAAAGTTTTATGTTAATAAACCGCTTTTTATTTGCAGACTGTCTGTGCTGATGCCGGTTCCACTAATAAATTTTATTGAATAAAAATTTTATGATCTTTAAAATAAATCGCAACGAAAAGAATATAATTTTCAAGTCTTAAATGCAAGTTGTTCTATATAATGATGATGTTTATCAATAATCATTTTTTTTTTTTTTTTAAATAACAGATTTAAAAGTCATCAAGTATTATACGGTTTGAAAGAAATTCAATTATATATATTATATATATATATATATATATATATATATATAGAGCGTTTGGTCATTTGTCTTGGGATACGCTGAAGCATCAGTTTAATCAAATGTTTCGTTTAATTTTTTAAGGAAGCAGAAAATACCCGATGCCGAATGCTGACAAGTCCAAGCTTTCATGAAGCGATCTTTTAATAATAATCATAATTAAACTCTTACTTAATGTTTAAAGAACTTAACTGTAATTTGTCGTCGCTGAATGCGGAATCTATGCCTCATAGAAAAACAACCAATAACTATGCGACATTTGAGCTGAAGAAATCGAAAATTTTTCTTATCGTTACGTCGCAAATGTCTTCACATTAGTGGTTCATGACATGTGAGATCGTAATTATCAATGTTCCCCGATGTTGGGTGGCTGGCGACAATTGGCATAGACGTAATTGGCGTAACAACGAAAGGATTAGAACTGGCCCAGCATAGATCTTCGACACTAATCCAAAGAAACGTAAAGATGTAAAATGCACTCAACTCTTTTTTTACACGGTCTTTTTTGCCCGATTTTGAAATAATTAGGCTCACCAATAAGAAAAAATACACTATCTTTTGCTCCAGCACGACTACCACCATTATTTTCATTTTTTTATTTTTTTATTCATATCTAACTTGATATGATATTTGATCCCGTCCGTAACAAACATGCGCGCCTTTTATCAAGTAGCGATGAATAGGAGCGAAATTGATTTTTATTCCTAAATTCATAATATAAATTTTTTACATACATTTATGCAATAGATTTTCACTGTTCAGTAATTTCAATTTTTGTCGTTGTCTGCTGTTTCATAAACGTATCATATCCATATTATTATTATTATTATTATTTTTTGTACGGTTCTTCGCGGAAATATTTATCGTTTTCATTTTTTACACTATTTTTTTTAAAGTTCTGTTGAATGTACTTTTTTTTCGCGATTTTTTTTTTATACGGTTTTTTACGGAACGTATCTACCGAGTAAAAAAAGAGTTGTCTATATTCAAGTATTATACTGGATGTAATTATCTTCTCTCTGTAACGATCCAAGTCATTCCTTCTATTGAATCGTATCGCTATGTTGAAATGATCTTCACTTTGCCGAGATCAATCGATAGTAAACCTAAGTCTTCTTATCCCTGATGTGTTTTTTTTTTTTTAATGTTTAAAAATTTTAATTAATGTCATATAAAATTAATTAACGATGATGATAAATTATTTTTATATATATATATATATATATATATATATAT